CTATATTTTTTTATAGTTTCTTAGATTATTCCAAAATCTAAAGCGGTAGAAAATTTTATTATTGGTAATAATTGGTAGATGGTTTATTATTGTTTTTTTAATGATTTTTTGTTTCATAATTTCCATATAATTACTTTTTATTTACCCTTCATTTTCGGTCATAATTATATTAGTATCATTATTTGAGTTGCATCAGTATAAGTGGTAGCATTACCATTAGCAGTAACAGTAACAGTAGAATTAGAATTATAATTAGCATTAGTATATTAAGATTAGAATTAGTATATTAGGATTAACATTAGCATTAGTATATTAGGATTAGCATTAGTATTGGCATTAGCATTAGCATATAAATATTAGTTTAGTATTATTATTAATACTAATATTTGTATTAGCATTAGGATTAAGATTATGATTAGCATTAGCATTACCGTTGCCATATTACAATTAATATTAGTATGAATATCAGTATGCATATTAGTATGAATATTAGCATTATGATTATGGTGCATATTAGTATTAGCATTATGATTAGAATTATTATTGAAAATTAGCATTAACATTAGCATTAGCATTTTTTTTTTTTTTTTTTTTAGAAACCTTGTGGGCCTACACAAGTAAAAAGAGTACCCCTACAATGGTAATAAAAAATCAGAAGCTACCCTATCGGAGCTATTACAAGAAAGCCCCAAAGCGGGGTAAAAATGACAACCTCCAAAGCTAGAACTATTAAAATTGCAAAAGTGCCCCTTGGTGGAGGTAAACATGTAACTTCGCTTACTCATCCAGCAAACTCCCAAAGCCAACTCCTGAAATTGCATATTAACCCCAACTCTAGAATTGGTAATTGCAGATTGCACCCTAGGAGATAGAGATGCAATATATGCCCAACTCCACTTCCAAAACCAACTGTAGAAGAAAGTCATGGACGAAAATTGGCGACTCCCAACTTATCACTTATATATGCAGCCCGGGCCTCCCTCGGTAAACTCATTTCAGAGAAATATTCTTGATTTGACTTATGAGAATACGCCCAATTAGCCAATCTATCCGCGACCGTGTTTTTTTGCCTGACGACGTGCTGGAACGAGAAGGAAGGCTCTATCTCCTTCAAGCATTGCCAAAAAATATATTCAAGCTCCCATGCAATGTGCTTGGTCCGAATTGCATTGATGACCAGTAAGGAATCACTTTCCACTATAATTTGTGAGAGACCGAGAAGCTTGCACAATCTAAGGCCATGAACCACCGCCGAAAATTCCGCAAAGTTATTGGTGCCAACCCCAAAATATTTTGAAAAACTAGCAACTATTCCTCCTTCCGAATCCCTAACAATCCCACCGCCCGTACATTCCTCCGCCGTGGAAGAGCCATCAGTATTAAGTTTAAAAGCACCACCCTTGGGCCGCTCCCATTTGAACCATTTTCCACGCTTATAGCTAGGCTGCACTAAACAGACTCCAATGGCTTGGAGTTGGAGACTTTGAAGCTTCGTAGACGGCTGTCGAGGAACATGATTGATGACCACGTGCTGAATGTGAGAGAATACTCGACGAATAATATTTTCTCTATGCATGATTCCCCCATCATAAATTACTTTGCATCGAGCCACCCACAGCTCACGAAGAATATGACACACAGTAGAGGTTCAAACCATAGTGTACTGCGATTGTATTTGTGGTTTGGGGACCCATACAGCAAGAGCATGCTTCGCCGACACAAACTGCGATGGGAGATGAAATAGCAGGCTAAAGTGCTGCCATACTTGCCCCGCCACTTCCGATTGGAAAAAAAGATGTTGGACGTCTTCTTGTTGAGGATTTTTACAGCAAACACATCTGGAAACCATCGGAATTCCTCTAGAGATAATTCGTTGATCAACTGGGAGCGCGTGATGTATCAATTTCCACATGAATCCACCTGTCTTGTGTGGCAAGAACTGGTGCCATATGCGATTTGTCCCTGCCTCTCGTCACCCCAAAACCCGAATATGTCTCCAGTACTCTTTAGTCGAGAAATCCCCAGATTGTGTAAGAGTGAATATCAACCGATCCGGCTGATCATGATCCAACGTAACTTTCCTTACCGACTCATGCAGGGAAGGAGGAATTAATTTAAGATATTCCGAGAGATGTTGCATGGCGGTTGCAACAGTTAAAGTGTGGTCACTCGGAAGAGGCCCAACAAGCACTTCACCAACCCAATTATCCGCCCAAAATCTTATATCTCCGGAACCCACATTCCACTTGGAACACTCGGCAAGTGAATCACTATGACTATATATCGACCTCCATAAAGGGGAGGTCGATTGGCCGCTACTGTTCCGACGTTTATCGCAATACTTGGCATTAGCGAACTTCGCCCACAAAGACTTTTTTTGCATAACCTGCCACAATAGCTTCCCATGCAAACACCACATCACCTGATTAAGGGGCCGGATACCCAAACCCCCCTCTTCAACCGGAGTACAAATAGTTTTCCATTTCACCCAGTGAGTCCTCGAAGCACCGCCAGAACTCCATAAAAAGGCAGCCATTAATTGCTCGAGCCGAGTAATAACCGATATAGGCACCTACGAACAAGCCAACGAGTAAATCGGGATGCTACTCAACACCGCCTTGAGTAACGTAATTTTACCAGCAAAAGAAAGGAATTTCCCTTTCCAGCCTTGAAGTTTACCTCGAATCTGAGTGACGAGATATTCGAAAAATTCCGCCTTAGTCCTACCGGAATAAATGGGAACCCCTAGATACTTGAGAGGGAGGGTTTTCCGACTGATCCCCGTAACTTGCTCAATATTGCTACTCTCCACTTCTGCCCATTTACCCACATAAAGATGGCTTTTAGTCACATTAACGAGCTGCCCCGAGGACCTTTCATACGAATGAAAAATCTCCATTAGCCGTTGTACAGAGTGGCGCCCTCCATTCATAAATATGAGAATGTCGTCCGCATACAGTAGGTGTGAAACCGAGAGTTCATTATGGCCAACCTTGTACTGGGAGATTTCCTTAGAATCAATTTTTTTTTTAACGTTGAATGTTAATATCTGTTGGGCGAGAATAAATAAGAGAGGCGAGCGGATCCCCTTGACGAACCCCACGCGAAGATTTGAAATTGCCAACCATTTCCCCATTAATGCGAAAGGAGTACCATATATTGCATATATTTCTGTAAATTAGATCACATGATGCATGAGAGAAGCCAAAAGAACGCATTGCCCGAAGAAGAAAGCGCCACTCTAGTCGATCATATGCTTTTGCCATGTCCAATTTAAAAATAACATTGCCGCCCTTACACTTTCGATTAATATCACGCGTCAATTCTTGAGCCATGACTATGTGCGACATAATATTACGATCTTTGACAAACCCTGCTTGCTCCTCTGAGATTAGAAACGGAAGAATTTTCCCCAGTCTAGTAGCAAGGATTTTAGACAAGAGTTTTCCGGAGAAATTACCGAGACTTATTGGCCTATAGTCACCAACGGTCCGAGCATTATCAATCTTAGGAATTAAAACCAAAGTGGTTAAATTCATCTCTTTAAGAATGTGACCCCCTCGAAAAAAGTCGATTATAAAATTCGACAGTTCCACTTTAATAATATCCCAGCAGGCGACATAGAAATGCCCGGTAAAACCGTCTCTGCCAGGGGAGCTATTCGGGTTCAACCCTTTAACCGCCTCAAGAATTTCTTCCAGATCTGGGAGACAACAAAAGGCTTCATTCACTACATCGGATACTACAGGTTGAACCCCAAGAAATAGATTCTCGTCTAGATCATACTTTGATGCCTTGAATAGATTGGAGAAGAAATCCTCTGCGAGAGCGCCAATTTCCTGGGGTTGAGTCGATGTGGAGCCATCACCACAAGTGACTTGGATAAGAGCTCTCTTTCGGCGATCTTTGATGGTCGCGTGAAAGAGGGCAGTATTACGATCTCCGGATTTGTCCCAAGCCATACGGGCCTTTGAACTAAGCAGCTCTAACTCCCAGTCTTTGTATTGAACTAGCTGTTTTTTAGCCAAAGTAATATTTTCCGAAATTAATTCACTCCAGCCTTGTTGCAATTCATTTTCAAGAGATTCAATGCGAGCTTGGCAACACCGAATATTATTAGTAATATTTCCAAACACCTCCCAGTTCCACTGTTGGAGAGCTTTCTGAACGAAAATAAGCTTCTGTTGAAATACATAAAAAGGGGAACCATGAACTGGAATGGACCATGCATGAGAAACCACAGCTTGAAAAGTAGGGTGGTCAACCCACATACGTTGAAACGTAAACCCTTTCCCAGCCATCTGCCGGCCCTGTTCAAAACGAACACTAAGCGGCGCATGGTCGGACATTGTTCTCTCTAGATGAAGCACCTGCAGAGACAGAAATAACAATTGGAAATCGGAATTGATTAACACTCTGTCCAATCTCTTCCATATCCTATTAAGACCCGATCGATTATTACTCCACGTAAATGGGTTACCAATAAAACCTGCATCCAAAAGCCCGGCTTGCATAACAAAGTCCTGGAAATCATGCATGCGGGAAATATCGGCCAGACCCCCTTTTTTCTCCGAGGCATCCAAGATTGTATTAAAATCGCCACCCACTAGCCACGGCGTGCCCATAGTACCATTCAAGTCATCAAGATGAGCCCAAAGGTCCTTTCTAGTTCGATGAGAGCAACTCGCATATACAAAAGTCGCCGTAAAAAGGGGTTTTTGCGGGATTTCTATAGACACCGTGATAGCTTGCGCAAAGATATTCAAACACTGAACATCAATCTCCGATTTCCACAAAATCCAGATAAAAGTGTTGATATCATTCCCGTGCAAAAAAGAGGAAAAACCTAACTTCTAGGCAAAATTCTTCAATTTTGAGAAAGGTAATTTAGGCTCCAATATAACCAAAAGGAAAATCTGTTGTTGCTTGATAATAATTTTAAGATGATTCACCGTGGCTGATTGATTTACTCCACGAGCGTTCCAAATGAGACACGACATTTAAACAGTGGGGTTGGTAGAAAACTTTGCCAGGGATCTGGTAATCCGATCAGTATGTGGAACATATGCTCTACTGTCGGTTTTCTTATCAGTGGCTCCTTTTTTCGCAATTAACAATACTTCACTATCAGATTTAGGCGACAATGAGACACCAACTTCGTCATCTTGCTCACCGTCCGAGTGAATTATGGCCAGAGCCAAACTGTCATGAGTCAGGGCCTGGAATTTGTTAGCAACCAAGACCCTCTCTTCACGCGGACCTGCTGTAGTAACTGGATGTTTGTTAGGGGAGTATCCATTAACTCCATGTTGTTCAGAATTCTCCACGTTCTCCGGTAATATAACATCATCTGCAATTACATCGTTCTGGCGAACATCCTTGACATTAATAGCCTCAAAACTAACTTCTGTGTGTGGCATTTCAGAGGTATTGTTAAACGTGGAATTAGTGTTTTCTTGCGCCGCACTATCTTGCCTCGTGGTCTGGTCCGTGGGAACTAGGAGCTCTGATGGATTAACAGGTGTTCGAGTATTGTGAACGTGGTTCTGAGGGGTTCGATCGTCTGAGGGTGGATCATCTTCTCCCCGTCGGAGAATTTTCGTCGGTTGTACTATGGGCTTTTTCTTGTCCGGCGTATGTTTAAGAATTCCAATTTTCTTTCGACAGGCGCCTACAAGATGACCCAAAAGTCCACAGTGTGAACAATACATGTGATTTCCCTCGTATTCAATGCGTTGCCACCAGCCTTCATCCTTTGAAGATCCAACGAATATAGCCTCTGGTAGGGTGTGAGCAACATTGATTTCTATGCAGACCCTAGCATAGTTCGTATGAGTGAAAGCGAGGGTACGATCATCGGCACGAAGAACAGTACCTAGGGCTCCTCCAATTCTTTCAAGCGAAGAGACATTAAAATAAGGCAGCGGCAGCTTCGGAAATCGGACCCAAACCGCTACCTTATTACTATCTTTTCCTAAAGCAAACTCCGGCATCCATCTAAATAGCCGGAACATACAGTTCTTGATGCTGTTTGTGTTTCGCGATAGAGCCAATTTCGCATCGCCTACAGAACCCATGTGAATAGTAATATGACGAGGGTCTAAAAACCCTATTGCAGGCTCAGCAGCTAAGTTCCACTCCGCGTTGATATGACTGCGGATTTCTTGCAGACTTGGACGCCCTGCCGAAAACTTCATGATCAACGTATTATCTACCTGTTTATTGAGTTGATCGATCTCGAGTGGTGAGAAGAACACCGCTGGCGCTTGTTCAACGATGGATGATGTACGATTTGCCAGGGGGACGGGGCTGAGTCGAGGGGGAGGAGCAGAACGAGGGGCGGAGATCATGGCGGCGAATGAAGGTCGGGCAGCAAGCAAAGAGTGTTGCTGCCCCGTCGAAGATGTTGGCAGATCCGGTGGCTCCATGCCGCCGGAAAGGGAAAAGAGAGCCGCTAGGGTTATGAGAGAGAAGAGAGCCGCAAATTCAAAAAATTTCTAAAACTCTTTAAAAATTTGTTATTCAAACATGTTTCTAAGTTTTGAAATTTAGTATTAGCATTAGCATTGCCCTTAGCATTAGCATATTATGAATAGTATTAAAATTAGTGTTAGCATTAACATATTTGCATTTCTATAATGATTAGAATTATGATTCGTATTATTATTAGAATTAGGATTATAATTAGAATTAATATTAGAATTAAGATTTGCATTACCATTAGGATAAGGATTATGATTAGGATTAGGATTAAAATTGTGACTGAAATTAGTATTAGGATTACAATTAGGGTTAGTATTAGTATTATTGTTAGGATTATGATTAATGTTAGTACTATGATTAGGATTATCATTTGAATTACTAATAGTTATAGTATTATTATTAGATTAGTCTTAATATTAGTATATTACTATTAGTATTAGTAATGGTAATGGTAATTGTAAAGGTAATGGTAATGGTAATGATTGATATTGGTATCAATATTGATATTGGTCCTATAATATTGATATTGATCCGGGTATTGATGTTAGTATTGGTAATGGTAATGGTAATGATAATGGTAATGCTAATGCTAATGATATTAGTATTGGTGTTGGTAATGGCAATGGTAACAGTAACGATAACGATAATGGTAATGGTAATGGTAATGGTAATGGTAATGGTAATAATAATGATAATGGTATTGATAATGGTATTGATGATGGTATTGGTATTGGTATTGATATTAGTATTTTTATTGATATTGGTATTAGTATTGATAATGTTATTGGAATTGGTAATTGTATTGATATTGATATTGGTATTGGTATTGGTATTGATATTGATATTGGTATTGGTACGTATTGGTACTGGTATATTAGTATTGGTATTAGTATATTAATATTAGTATTAGTATATTAGTATCAGTATTAGTATATTAGTATTAGTATTAGTATTTGTATGTTAATATTAACATTAGCGAATTAATATTAGTAATAGTATTAGTATATTAGGATTAGTATTAGCATTACCATATAAGTATTAATATTAGTATTGGTGTTACGTTACTTAGTATTATGATTAAGATTAAAATTAGTATTAGCATATTAGAATTGATATTCGTATGAATATTAGTATTCAGATTAGCATTATAATTTGAATTAGTATTAATATCGGCATTATGATTAGAATTATAATTAGAATTAGGATTTGCATTACCATTAGCATTAGCATATAAATATTGGTATTAAGATTACCGTTAGCAGTAGCATATTTGCATTTCTATAAGGATTGGAATTATGATTCGTATTATTATTATGATTAAGATTATGATTAGAATTAGTATTAAGATTAAGATTAGCATTACCATTAGGATTACAATTTGGATTAGAACAATGATTGAGATTAGTATTGGAATTAAGATTAGAGTTAATACCAGGATTAGGATTAGCAATAACATTAGAATTACTAACACTAATAGTAATAGTATTATTATCGTATTAGTATTAGTTTTAACATTAGTAATGGTAATGGTAATGGTAATGGTATTGCTATTGGTATTGGTGACGGTAACTGCAATGGTAATGGTCATAGTAATGGTATTGATATTGGTGATGGTAATGGTAACGGTAATGGTATTGGTATTGGTATTTGTATTCATATTGGTACTGGTACTGCCATACTGGTACTGGTATTCATTACTTATACAATACATAATATATTTTTTATTTTCTTTTACTTTTCTACTAATTTATATTGCATATCATTGATCTTACTATTTTGAGGACTTTTTTTTAAATAAAATATTTATTTTTACAATGAATACCCCGTGCAACCCACGGGTGAAGTACTAGAACAATGTATTAGTATTAGTATTAATATTTATCGTTGTATTAGTATTAATATTAGTATTAGTATTAGTATTAGTATTAGTATTAGTATTAGTATTAGTATTAGTATTAGTATTAGTATTAGTATTAGTATTAGTATTAGTATTAGTATTAGTATTAGTATTAATATCAGTATTAGTATTAATATCAGTATTAGTATTAGTATTAGTAGTAGTATTAATATTAGTATCAATATTAATATTAGTATTAGTATTAGTATAAGTATTAGTATTAGTATTAGTATGACTGTATCAGTATCAGTATTACTATCAATATCAGTATTAATATCAGTATCACTATCAGTATTAGTATCATTATCTATAACAACATCAGTCTCAGTATAAGTATCAATATCAATATCTGTATGAGTATTGGTATGAGTATTGGTATGAATATTAATATTGGTATTAGTATTAGTATCAGTATTAATATCAGTAGTAGTATCAGTATCAGTATCGATATCAATATCAGTATTATTATCATAGTTATTATCATCATTATTATTATTATTATTATTATTATTATTATTATTATTATTATTATTATTATTATTATTATTATTATTATTATTATTATTATTATTATTATTATTATTATTATTATTATTATTATTATTATTATTATTATTATTATTATTATTATTATTATTATTATTATTATTATTATTATTATTATTATTATTATTATTATTATTATTATTATTATTATTATTATTATTATTAGGATTCGAATTCATATTAGTCTTGGTGTATTAGCATTAACATTAGCATTAACATTAGCATTAGCATTAGCATTAGTATTAGTATTAGTATTAGTATTAGTATTAGTATTAGTATTAGTATTAGTATTAATATTGGTTTATAAGTTTTAACATTAAATATTCGTATTAGAATTGGCGTATTATTATTAATATTAGTGTTGATATTAATATTAGTATTAGACTATTAGTATTAATCATCGTATTAATATTAGGATTAGTATTAATATTAGTATTATTAGTGTTGGTTTTAGTATTAATATTAGTATTGGTATTAGTATTATCAATGTTGGTTTTAGTATTAGTAGCAGTAGTAGTTGTTGTTAGTGTAATATTAGTGTTAATATTAGGGTGGCATAGGCAATTGTACTCCGCAATGTCCAGAGTTAAAAGTAGATTTGAGATAAATATATTTATCAACTTAGAATCGGGCGATATAACTAAAATTACGAGCAATGTTGTGTGCACAAAAGATTTTCAGAATATGAAGGTAAATCACAAACAAATGTATATTTTGAGTAAATAAAATATTTTTTTAGGTATTATTTACATGTATATCAACTGTTCAAAGTTTTTGTTCGTTTTATTTTATCCAAAAAAAAATAAAAATAAAAATTGATCCCGTGCATCGCACGGGTGAATTACTAGTTACTATTTACATATAAATTTTAATTGAATGTTATTTATGTCTATACACTAATTATTTTATTTTATTTTATTGATCAAGGGACATACACCTATATTCATCTAATAGAATGGATCTCCACCTATATAAGTCAAAAATTAGGGGTGTCTAGCCAATTTTCTCAATTTTTTAATATCCTTTATATATTAGCATTTATTAAAAAAACAATTATATTATGTATAATTATTGAGACCCTAACTCATAAATAGATATTAAATCAATATAGTTACTTGTTTCTTTAATTCATCTAATCATAGGGCCCCTAATTACTTAATTTATAATATATTAGTTATTTATTTTTATATATATTTATTTGTTTTAATGCTACTTAATACAAATTATCTTCAAAAAAATCGGACGCGCTGCCCCTGAACCTCCGGAAACTTTAACCCCACTACTATATCACAAAATTTTAGACTTGTCACTGGTTATATACCTTACAAAAACGAGTTAACATTGAATTTATCACCTTTTTAGAAAAAAAACACAAGAGTTTTATTGTAGATTATAGGACCCCATTTTTTAACCGTCTTCAAATCTCGCCTAGGGCCTCCAAAATCTCAGGAACAGCCCTGCCGGAAGTTGTTGGGCCACGTTAACCTTGATGCACACCCTAACATAATGGGTCTGGGTTAACGCTAGGGTTCGATCATCCGCTCTTAAAACCGTGCCTAGGGCTGCTCCTATTCTTTCTAGCGAAGAAACGTTAAAGTAGGCCGTAATGGTAGCTTTGAAAATCGCACCCAAACTGCAATTTTATTACTATCTTTGCCGATTTCGAACTCATAAGTCCATCGAAACAAGCGAAATATACAATTTATTTTTGATGCTATTGGAGTTGCGTGAGAAAGCCATCTACGCATCTTGAACAGAACCCATGTGAATCGTGATATTCCTGGTGTCCAAAAACCCTATTGCAGGCTCCAACGCTAAATTCCATTCCATATTGATGTGTACGGATATCCTGAAAATTCGGACGACCTACCGAGAACTTCATGATTAACGTATTATTAACCTTGCAATTTAATTCAACTATCTATATAAGCAAGAAAACCACCGCAGTAGATTTTTCAGTTGACGCTATTAGGCGAGGCGCTAGAGCAACAAGAGCCAGGCGATGAGGAACTGGTTCTTTTGGACACCAGCATCGCTGCAAAGGAGGGACGGGTTGGGGTTGACGGGGCTGTTACTCCTTTCGGGCAGCTAATTGGTCCGGTGGCTGCATGCCGCCGACGAACAATGAGGAAGAACGGCTATATAGGCTAGGGTTAGGGTAGGAGAGAAGAGATCTTTTATTTAGATTCCCTTCATTAATCTTGTGCTAATAAATATCGGCTAACATAGTGTAGCTTATATGTAAAAATGATGGTTGTAGACCCTCGTCTACAGTCGATTTATGAACATATCGAGTCAACCGAGTCGTTCAAGATGCCACAGTCGAAGAAATTGAAGGTGCCATCGGATGAGTCGAACAAGAGCCCTGTACCAACGCAAGAGTCGGTTTTCAACTGGTGTTGGTTCAAAAATTGCGCGCAAGTATCAACAGTAAGGGTAGGTGTATTACAGATATCCATGCACAATTTCTTATGTCAGTACAAAACATCATTAATATCGGAT